CAACGCTCCCTAACCCTTCCTAAAACTAAGGAGGTTACACCCAGCGAGTATAACGTAGCAACCCTTTCTTGTCAGATAGTGCTCAATGTACATGCCAATGGCTGCTAATGGGGAATGAGAGACAGAAGCATTCGGCTTTTAGTTAACGTGCACGCCGCGAACTTTTTATTGTTCAACAAAGCACAGGAGAAATCTCCCACCGGCACCACCTTGCAGGTCAAAATGTAACACTGGTTACACACTACGACTACGACTACGAGGGACGAACGGGTGCCGCTTTGAGAAGCTTCGCCCCTAAAACAACCATTAAAGATGGCGTGACAACGCATCAGGCACCCAGCAGCGGTGCATCAACCTTCTTACCACTTGGAAACAGCCGCCGGCATTGACTAGAAATACGGAGAAGGATTAAGAGAAAAGGGATGACGCCGTAGCTTGCGACACCATCATTGGCGGGATGTCCCAGAGAAGACGAGAAGCGTCTGTAGCTTCCACTGTGCTGCATGCAAGCGAAGCATCCGACTGAGACTGACTGTTCCCCACCGCTGCATGCTTTTGTAGCCTCACGCCCGGATTACAGATGGTATTCGGGTCTTCACTTGCGTGCAGCACAGTGGAGGCTACGAATGCTTCCAGTTTTCTTTGATACTTTCCGCCGACGGAGGCGTTGTAAGCCAGAGTGTCATTTCTTCTCTCTCAATCCTTCTCCGTCTTTCAAGGCGATGATAGCAGCTGTTGCCAGTTGGCAAGGAGGTTGACACGCCGCCGTTCAATGTCTGACGTGTTGTCGCACCGTCTTTAATGGTTGTTTTACAGCGAAAGCTCTTATGGGATCACAACTCGGGTCTCGTGCAGTTGCATGTTGTCTGCTGCCACTGTCGCGCCGCCGATGCCGGTGTCTGTAACCACATCACGCGAAATTAGAAAAAAAAAAAACCTAGCGCCAATGTCACAGTGGGGCTTGAACCCGGGCCCGCTGGGTGCCAGCCCAATATTCTACCCCTGAGTAACGCCGGTGCTTGTAACTTGTTGTCAAACTTGCCTTAGGCACGCATGACTTAGTACCAATGGCACAAAGGAGCTCGAACCCGGGTCCACTGGGTACCAGCCCAGTATTCTACCACTGAGCTACTCCGGTGCTTGTGACTTTTCGTCAAACTTGCCTTAGACAGGCTTGATGTCAAGAAAGCAAGTGCGTTAATACGACTTATAAAGCGTTTTACAACCGCGAAAGAAGAACCAGTCATCGCACAATGTGATTAACGTAACGAGCGGGCCGTCCAATGCTCCAACCCAACACAAAAGCTTGTTCTTGTTTTCTATTAACTTTGATGCTTACCCCCTTCAGCCATAATTCCTCATCGTTGTCAGCCACTGCATGGACGATTGGCACAAAATTCCTAGCAAGTGTTTAGTGGATACCACGATTCTCAGAAGACTAACGAAAAATAGCATAGCGAATGCCGGCCTACTAACCAAAAGTACTACCTAGTGGGTACCAAGCATGTGTGCTTTCAGTAGTTACCCAATGAGTGTTTTGAAAAGGCTCTGAAAGGCCGCTCTTCCAGCTTTCGCTGTGACTGTGCTACGCCTACCGCACAGGCCTGGAGTTTTTTTCGTTGCACATGCTTTGATGGGGAACCCGCTGGCGGCCCGGCTGCCTTCCATCGTTCAGAGGCAGCGCACGCGCCTTATGGAGCGCTCGTTTTGTGACATACGGTAACAACCTAAAGCGGATTTTAGCAGCGCTCCAACGGCCTTCGTTTACAAGGTGCATAGCTAGAGCCAGCATTACTGCGACTTTCGTGCCCTCAATAAAGTTTCAGCTGATTTTCCCTGACAGAAGCCTGAATTCCCCAAGTTTTCTCTGATGTTTTCCGGTTTTCCCAGTTGGTAGACACCCTGTAAAGGTATAGCAATACCTGACGAAAGGCCTTTGTAACAGTTTTACAAATATAGTAAACAACAAATGGATAGAAAATTGTTCATGACATACAGTTTTTGGTTTGAATGTAGAATGGAAAAGGCAGACAAAACCACAATTCACAATACCTAGTGACCGAACTAAAAAAAGGTTCCTTTGTACGGAAGTAAAAGAAAGTATAAAGATAGCATACCTGCTAGTACATTTCATTAAATACAATATTTGTATCCAAAATAAATAAAACAAAAATTAAAGACACATGTATGTCTAAATGAATATATGACAGGTCATTATACAGAAACAAAAATTGCATATACAGTCGAGCCCGCTTATAACGAACCTGAGCGTGATGCGGCATCCATTCGCTGTATCCCAAAGTTTGTAGTAAATGAAACACTTTTAAAGAAAGGTGCGAGTGAAAACACAAGCTTTTCTTGCCCCAAAAAGTCCATGATGCACATTTTTCGAAGAGCAGAAGCAATAAGGGCGGTCTCGAGTTCACTTAAAACAGCAGGGTGCTCGTTCGCCGAGGCCCGTGACATAATCTGCATAAGGCACTGGCTCCGAAGTTTCGTTGTTCTTGCAATCCCATTCCTTCAAATCGCTCTCGCCACGTACATCATTCACAATGCCTTCACAATGCCCCAATCTGCTCATGGTTCCGCAGTGTCAGGCATCATCGTCGTCCGTAATTAAACCATCGCAACAGATGTCTCACCCGCTCTCCCAGGTCGGGGTCAACGACGCGCTGCCACAAATCACCGCCGCAGTTCGGAAGCTTCAGGCTCGGCATCGGGCTTGACGTCGACGAAGTCGACCTCGTGAAAACAGTTTCGCGCGCATGTAGCCGTCACCGCCGCCCACGAAATATTCACCATCTCCACAGCTGAATACCGGGACGCCCGAAGCAGCAAGTTGGCTGCCAGCTGGTCAACAGCTATGAGCAAGCGCTCCGCAACGCGTCACCTAACGCGCAGATTACACTCAAGCCAAGCAATCACACTTTTGACGTTTTGTTGAGCGGCAGGAAAAAGCGTGCAAGTCCTCCTGTCGGCCATCATGACCACACGCGCACGCCAAGAGCAAGCAAGACGCGCACATGCGACACACATGCCAGAAGGCGTGGAACAGCTTTGGGCCCCGTTTCTAGTCAGAAAACTAAACTATTTCGAGCCAGCGTGGCGGGCCTCGCGGAGTGGTGGAGACGGGCGAAAGGGTTGTGATCAAGAGAGGAGAGCAGATTTGCAAGAGAAGGGCAAGGAGTTGCGATAAAGAGAGGGGAGGATGCGGCAGGAGGGAGACCTTAAAAACCAAAACACACGGGAAGGAGGCAGGTTGGGTGGCTTTTTTGAAAGGTCCGCGAAACACGCGCGTGAAAAAACTTGGAAAGAGTGCCTACGCATGCAGAGGTCAAAGCACGCATGGCCGCCTGGATTGGTGCGCGCGGCGGTGTTCGAAGAATCGGCTGCCGTGGTCAAAAAATCGTTTTGTTGCGCTGACGGGTCTGTGTGACCTCACGAACTTCGATATTTCGCGATTCTTTCCACTCAAATTGAAAGCCGTTTTCGCGCTTCCGCACTCCGCGGAAGGCTGCCGAGCCGAGTGCGAAGTGAGCGAGAACAAGTCCTAAACACGAAACGAATCGCGAATCATCTGAGTCGGTGGGGTAGTGCGCGCGCGTGCACTAGATGCAGACTATCGGATATAGTCGCTGGCCGATGATGTTGGCAAATGGTCTGGTCACTTCAGGCCGGTGATGCTACGACAGCACCAGTGATCAAAAACAGGGTAGATGGCCAACCGGTCTTCGAAAGATCGGTGGCACCGTGAAAACACGGGCTTCATCTGGCAATGCGGGGTGCTCAGAGTAGCGGGGGGGGGGGGGGGGGGGCAAAGGACCGAGGGGTGCGTAACAAAAAGCAGTCGGGGCATGGAGGAAGGAAACGGCTTTCCTTCCTCCATGGGTCGGGGAGAGCGGCAACTAGAGGGTCGCGGAGGCAGGATCGGCGTTTAGCAATAAGAATGTATGGGCACCTCGCTGATGCCTGATTGGTGGTCGAAAGTGGTTTCCCGGGAAGGCGGCAGACCGCTGACTCCGTTCGTTGTAACCGATTAGCGACCTTCGGAGACGTTCCTTGTAAGTGCGATTTGTTGCCATTGAACTAATGTATATTTTCACGGTCAAGCGGATATTGTTCATTCTAAGCGAAAGTTCGTCTTAAGTGGGGCCATTATATGTGGGATCGACTGTATATGCACAAAATAGTAAGGAACATGTACTTTAATAGGACAACCTGGAAGGGAGTGCATTATTTATTATTACCTTTTTCAGTTGTTTCTTAACATTGTTTGGACTAAAATTGAAGTCCAAATCTCTTTCCAATCTGTTAAGAAGAAACATAGTTTGATAGTATTTCCTAGATTGCTTACCATACTATGTTGTGCAATGTTGCAAACTATTATCTAATGAATATGTGTAACAATCATTGAAACCTCGGTGAGTTGATAAAGGTGCAAACTGCTGCACATGGGACACAAGAAAAAAGTGAAACTCAATGCAAACAGTAAATCGGTTGCAAGCTTGCGCTCGTCTGTCTTGCTTCATTCCTTTTTTTTTGTGTGTGTCCTGTCTGCTGCACAGCTTGCTATCTTAAGGAAGATGAATTGACGGGCTTGATTGTTCCTCGCGTGACACGGACGTGATGAGCGACAATCAGCTGTCAGAGCTTGACGTTCTGCTATGAATTGAAACTAACTTGTACCTAAACCAACTTAGCAATCTGAGCATCATTTGTGATCAAGGCTCATATTGCTCGAAAAATTCAAGAAGTGCCCTGCACGCATCCAGAGCTATTTCGGACGCAGCTGTCGCACAAGGACAAATAAGCAAGCATCAATTTTCATCAAACTACCCTCTTTTTTGTTTTGTTTCTTCCGGACCATTTCGCAATTTTTGAAGTATCATAATTGGACATAGCCTCAAGTTGAATAACCTTGTCGCAGTCTGGCACAACTGAGTTCAAGTAACACAAGTGCAGCAAAGCAGAAACAGAGCCTGCACGAAGACCACCCTCACCTCAGACTTGTGGCGTAGTAACTCTGTCATCTCCTCCTGCAGCTGGTAGATCTTGGTTTCCAGCGCTGCCCGTGGCTTCCCAAGGCTGCCAACCACACAGAAAAAAAAAAAGTGCACGTCGCTCACACTTTGGTTCACTAGGGCCCTCATTTAAAAAAATTTAGGTAAATGTCATTCATTGCATTACCAGGAACAAAAGCAGACAGACTCCTCCTTGTGCAAGACAGAATACCTATCATCATGACCGCACAATTTGTGTTTCTATGCTGCCCAGCAACGTGCATTAGCACCAGGCGAGTGGGTGATTCCTTATTCGAGTATGCAGAGTGCACCCCTTCATTCAACAGGCACGCAAGCATCTTCGTTCTTTTCACTGTCATAGCCATTTGAAAGACATCGAATATTGTGGCTCACCAACTAGCCCATTGATGGATTTGTGGGGTTTAGCGTTTCAAAACCACTATTTGATTATGAGAGACGCCGTAGTGGAGGGTTCCGGAAATTTTGACCACCTGGGGTTCTTTAACGTGCACCCAAATCTGAGTACACGGGCCTACAATATTTCCGCCTCCATCGGAAATGCAGCCGTCGCAGCCGGGATTCAATCCCACGACCTGCCGGTCAGCAGCCGAGTACCTTAGCCACTATACCACCGCAGCGGGGCCACCATCTAGCCCATCAATCGAAAACAGAATGTTTATTATTTTTTTATTCATTTATCAAGTACCTGCTTTGCCAAGAGGCATTACAGCAGAGAGGGTACATTACATATAAATAAGCACATAACAATACATTAACAAAGCATGGAAAAAAAAAACATTATTTGAATAAATACAGACAGTTTAAGGTGGCAGGGTGTTCCAGACTCGTATCGTACGAACAAAGTGTAGCAAAAGCATCACCCTTAAAAGATATCTCGCGTATTGTAAAGTAATACTGACACCAAATTTCATGGCTGTGATAGTCCGCGGGGTCGATTTTTATGAACACGTATATATCAACCGGGAATATATTTGGAAAGTAATTCAGGGCAATTTAAAAGTTTGAATTTTGAAGGTACTGAACCCTTTTGAAGGTACTGAAGTTTGAATTTTGAAGGTACTGAAGGTAAAAACCCCCTAATTTTCCTCACGTCCCAGTCAATAACACTGCAGTCAATAAAACAAGTTATGATGATGTCATAGCCGCCATCTTTTTTTTTTTTTGCCACATGTGTTCTAGGAGTCTATACTTCTCGCAGCTGGTCTCGAGTGCTTGGCTGCGGTACAGGCGTTCAAAGTTATGTGTTTAGCGGCACTGCTGTCCCTTTTTTTATTCTAAAAGCATTCTTGATGCGAACTGTGTGAAAGTGTCTCGCAGTTCTGTGTGCTGACGTGGTCGAGAGCTGCACACGCCAGGTGGCGATAGTTGCACTTTGCAACTAGTCGTTTTTGGAGATCTCTCAATCCGAAACTGAAACTGGTCAATAATGAGGGGCCTGTATATATCTGTCATTTGCAGCAACAAATGACATGCCATGTTATGACGAACAGGTCTCCATCAACACATTGCAGCAAAATAAAAAACCTGAAGCCAAAGTTTTTGTGTGTTAAATATTGTGTGAACGACGAAGATAGTCGCTATCATCATTAGAGGGATTAGACAGGTTTTCGAAATAAAGAACAGGTCGATCGGGTGGGCTTCGCCATGGGCACGGCGGCTCGTCCTTTCCTCAACATTTTGATGCAAACACAGTTGACATCGATCATTTGGAAGGGGAAATGGAAGAAGCCGAAGTTTATGAATGCGAGATTATTCTAGCGAGGGTGAGAGCGGAGTATAACATTGAAGACGCACAAAAGGCTCGGCAAAGTCACGTGGAAGCGATAAAACAACGGATGAAAGCAGAAGCAGATAGGAAAGTACTCTCTTCGTCTCCGTCACCACCATCTAGCCATTACGTGACGAATAGCAATCTTGTCCCACAGAAGCTAGATGAGTTGGCCTCAGGACAAAAGAGGGAATAAAACAACAGCATACAAACCAGGGTTCCCACGACAGAAAAGGCAAACCAAGAACCTAACACCGAAAAAAAAACCTCCAAGTCTGAAGACACCTTCCACGACTTTAGAATTCACGCCAACGGACTGTACCCACGAAGATAATGACAGACTATCTCAGCTGATCATGGTGGAAGACATTTCTTTGATAGGAAACTGGGAAGCCTTTGAATATCACAAAGGTGAACCGCCAGGTCTTAAAGGTGAATGCACGCGGAAGACGACAACTCCAGGCCAAATAATGTCACCACCAATATGCTTAGAAGCGCCTGGCGAAAGCAAGACAAGACTACTTCTTAAAGCGAGTGGAAACAGAAAGAATACTGCGAAGACACAGATGCAATCCCTTGTACTGCATTTAGGTTCTCTTTTTTTAGGAAGCTACAAACGTCAAGATTGAGGGCAATATGGAGGACCCATCTTATTTCAGCAAAGAATGCCGAACTAGCATCACAGCCACATATAAGACAGAGCAGACCAAAACAGAAAGAGAGGGCTGGTGCTTCTGAGGTAAACAAAGGCAAGACGAGAAAATCAAGAAAACTGTCCAAAGCGAGCTACAGTAAAACATCATGGAAGAGACTGCATCATCGTTGTTCATGTGAACTTAAAGTGTTCATCGAAAGTCCACCATGAAAGTCCACCATTTAATAGCACGCATTTGGAACAAGCATCGGAAACACCGCTGGAAGAGCTGGCACAGGAGAAAACTTGGATTGTCCCACATGGACTGACTTGGAACTCGATTAACTACTGACTAGTATTGTGTACTAAGAAGCTGGGTGTGTGCTTAGTGTTCTTCGTCGTCATGCGTCATTATGGGGGCGCGGAGGATGTTAAATATTTTATGTAAACGAGGAAGAGGGCAGTATCATAATTAAAATATTGCCGCGCCCGAAACAAAGAACGAAGACGATGTGCGCGCCAACAGCCTCGTGAAAAGGGGGACTGAAGAAGACGACGTGCTTTTGTTTTGCTCACCTGCTCTTGGCTCCTGCATAAAAACACACGCCGTCGGTGCTCAGACTCAACGTCTCGGTGCACTGCTTACGTTGAACCGCGACAATATACTGGCATTCGAAATAAAGAAGAGGTTGACGTGTGGGCTTCGCCATGGGCACGGCGGCTCGTCCTTTCCTAAACATTTTGTTCGCACATCAGCTTTGTCGAAGGCGGCTTCCCAGGTTTCAGCACCAAAATGTTCAGGAAAGGACGAGCCGCCGTGCCCATGGCGAAGCCAACCCGTCGACCTCTTCTTTATTACGAATGCCAGTATATCTCGATGATGATACGGCCCTCTTCCTCGTTTAGACAAAATATTTAACACTGTGTCTGCACGCCTCATAGTTCTTCATTGACAATCAACATGCGAAAATGCATGGATACATCCCCGTGGCAACCACAAACATTGAGTACAGCACTTTACCTGCAAATGATATAATAACATTTTATCATTGGGTGTTGTTACATTAAATGCATATATCAGTTTGCATTTTGTTTGTGTGAATTAGTAATGCAACACCTTCACTCAACCCCCCCCTCCTCCCCAAAAAAAGATATGCTGAGATAATGCGAGTTATAACCTTCCATTCTAATGATGTCACACTTGATTTCACACTCGATTTCACTGGACGTGATAACCAAAAAATGAAAACAAAATTGACTCGAAAGTTCTCCTAAAACGAAAGTTTTGCTCTAAATAGGACTGGTGTTTAAATAGACACATTTCAGTCGATTTGATCTAAAACTAGTAGTCACCTTCAAGTCATCCGGCGAGTAGAAATAGGGCTCATTTGTATTTATGATTTTTCGTTGAGGTAATGCCGATTGGGCACATTATTTAGGCTGAAGGCAATCAAGGTCATAGCAGCACTTGATATGAATGGCATTCACCCCATCATACCTTAGCAAAAAACTTTTCCATATATGTGCTATACACGTTCAAACCCCGATTCTTTGGCCTAGGATTTTGTTGTGTGATACAGCTTTTTATTGCAACGAGTCCAGTTTCATTGGATAAACATGTGTGGATAACAATCTTTTAGGTCGTTTCTTTTTTCGAACCATGAATTTACGAGCACCTGCTTCATGAAGCGCGTGATTGTTCCTGGTATCTTTCTTTGTGAAAGCCCGTGAACTGAGGTAATGTCTTGCTGAATAAAGTGAAACGTTTTCAGCATGTCTGCAACATCATATACGTAGTACTTCTTGCAATAGACATTTATTGTCTTCTCGATATTTTAAATAATGCGGCATTCAGACATTTCACACAATTCTTCTGGTCCTATGAAACATAAAAAAAACGTGCTTCTACTGTAATCACTAATTAATTATCCATATGTGGACAGTACCATACCAAGGGGTAAACAAAAATATTCAGTGAATTAAGCGGTTAGTACCCCCCCCAAAGCTAATCTCAAAGGTGCCCGACATGCATCTTGCCCTGAGTTTGGCAGGCATACAAGGTACACACCTGGACTCTGCATTCATCTGGAGCTGCAAGTTTTCCTGCTGCAGGCGTTCCTTCTGCACAGTCAGCTGCACATTGTTTGAACGAAGAGAGTCCACACGCTCGAAAAGCTGCGTGCCTGCACAACAAGAAGGCTCACTCATCAAACTGGCCAGCTCTGACGATGAAACAGACTGTGCACATACGAAGCAGCATCCATGCAAACTATGCGCAAAGGTGTTGCCTAAAGCAAGCAAGAACAGGCATTTCCTACCGACAGACACATCGGAGAATGAATTCTGGTGCAATGCGTCATGTGGCTTACAGTTTCACCAAAACGGCTTCCCTGGTAGTTAATGGTGATAAGCAATTTAGACAAGTTTCACTGCCGGAGACTTTCCCCAGGCGTCACATACCTCATCAGCACACTTGTCCATGTTTCATCACGTCTTTCGTTAATACTGCACTATGGGGGACATTCGGCCTTGTTGGTGTATTTACTACAAAAGGACGCATGGACAGAATACCAATAAAGAAGGGTGTACGACAATGTGACATGCTATTTGCTGCATGATTACAGGAGCTTTTCAGAGGCCTGGAATGGGAAAAGTCAGAAATACGAGTATACGGGTATAAAGTGGCAGCAGCAAGCACAGGACCGAGTTGACTGGTGGAACATGGGAGAGAACTTTGCACTGCAATGGGCGTAGTCAGGCTGATTGTGATGATGACACAAGGGCGAGAAGGGAGGACAAAGTGGTGGTCACCACTGTATATATTCATGCTGCGGTTGAAATGAACTATTCTGTTGAAAGTAAGCGCACGTTCTGTGTCTTCCCTTCCTGTCCTTGTGTCACTTTTCACTAAGTATTGCCTAATTCCCGTAATATTGCTAGATTTTGTCTTGAGATGGCAGTATTTATATATAACAACAAAAGCTTGGCCTTTATTAAATTTGTTACTGAGTGAGTTGGCTAAAAAAATAATGGTATGAGCATTTTTCATATCACGTGGCTCTTAACCCTTTGAGGTCAAATTATTTCCCTACTGGTTTTGAATGTATGAAATGTGCAAGGTTGGGAAGAAATTTAAAAAAAAATGTCCCGACCAGCATTTTAGTGTCACTCTCACTGAGAAGTGCAAAATTTTCTGCAGTGTTTCACAAAGTTGGCATTGCTTGACACATGGGTCTACACGCACTGTGCCTCGTCACAGTCTGCACACACAAAATACATGTCTGTTCTCCTCGTAGAGCGATGAGTTGCTTTTGCGAGGGTGCAACAGCCAACAAAAGACTTGGAGCAGGTTACAAAAAACACACTCTACATTCAAGACCAAATCTTGAATTTGGTGCAGTATAACAAAACAGACTTACTCTTAAAAAAGAAAATAAAAATATGCACAAACCATTCAAGATCAGCTGACTCATGCACTGTACATGCCAGCACTGCCATTTAAAAATACACAATGGGTTGAATTACCTGACAGGGCCGACAATCACCCCGTCAACATCAGTATTTGCAGCACCTGTTAAATCTAATGTGGACCTTCCAATGTTAATGCGATGCTAATGTGGACCTGTTGACCTGAAAACCTTGAGTTTCGGGAGATCTGAAAGCAGCAGTGAGTTGAGATAGGAAAAAGAAAGCTGGCATACGTTTTTGTTTATTATTTCTAAGGGCCTTAAAGACGTCACAAGCGACTCTGAGCAGTTGCCAGTAACTTTTTAGACATCAATGATCATATAGTAGCCCGTTTAATTATACAGCATGTGGACGCATCAATAACTAAAAAACAAGATGTACTGCATCCTGTGACCGATAAAACCAAACGTCTTTTCCAAACCTTAGTACCTTTTCCTGCAAGACATTGATCTACTGAGGCAAAAGTGGCTTACGAAATGTTCTACATGCTATACCATAAAATCTTGAGCAAGCGCCCCCACTCATGCAAGCACCCCCTGGTTTTATTTTTTTTTTATGATTTGTAACATGCACCCATAACAGAACAAGCTCCCTCCCTGCCTTTTTTCCCTGTTTCATTCACCATTCTGGACACTGAATACATGCGTACTGAATAAAGCATTTAATTAAAGAACCATGGGTGTGCACTTTTTTTTTTGTGGCTGTTCCTTTGCCATGCTCAGTGATGAAAGTGACTTTTTCCTTTTTGGAGCAAATTTTGCAGCAGGAAAAGTACTATTTTGGAGCAGCCATAAGTGTTTTCGGAGCAGAAAAGTTGTTAGTTTCCAGCAGCTATTGGTGTTTTAGGAGCATATGAAAACATTTGTCATACACCCATGCAGTTCAAAGCATCGTCGAAGCATCTCGTAAATATTAATATTTATAATAAAATATATCTTAATGTATCAGTGTAAATTGTAAATAAAATGTAAATAAAAATGTATATATATCAATGTAAATTTCAAGAAGCAAGCAATAACATGGCTGGTTGTCAAAAATAAGCTGTGAAATGATTTATATAATTAACTACACTCTGTTTAACCGCTTTGGTTCAGTACCACTAAAGCTACAGGGTGTAAGAAAGCCACATACTTGAGCAGCGAAATGTAGTCCCACATACAAGTGCCTTAAAATTAACAGGGTTGCTAAGCATTGGCATTTCTTTGGTGTGTTTTGCGCCAAATCGATACATGATACATTTATTCTTCTTCGCATTTACTTATTGGTGTCGGTTACCATCGATAACTGTGTTTACACCGCCCGCTTCGATACAGACTTGCTCTTGCTACACACCCATTAGGCTGACAGCAGTAAACAAATGGTGCAACCAGCCATTGATTTGTTTCTTCTCACTTTGGGAATTAAAGCATCAGGTACGTTTTGTCAATATTAGCAAAATATGTTGCTTGCTTAGCCACACGTGTCAAGTCTCATGTGTCACGGCAATGCTCGGACTGCATCGTCAGACCAAGAATGCTGCATCTCCGAATATCAGACATGCAACTTTGCACAACGTTCCGTGCACGTCAGATCCTCCTTCGATGAAAACAAAAAAGAAAAAAAGGAGCACTGCAGCGAGAGACGCGAAGATACCGATCGACGGAGAAACAGACATACGAGAGCCACGAACAGCATCGAAGAAAAACATCCACAAAGTGAAGTTATCTGCCAGCATGAGATTCTACCGACCGATCTTTAGCAGAGCAACAAATTCACGCTTTTTCAAGTTCCCAGCGTAATAGCTTGTTTATTAGCTTTACTGCATTTTGAAGTTGATAAGCTAGCCCTAATTATTACAATTCTGTGAGCAGACGCCATGAACACGGTGAGCAGACGACACGGGGCGCGAATGAATACATGTAGAGGGGCTAAGCACCTTTGCTATTAGACGAGGGGCCTGTAGCCTCCACAGTGTTGAAGGGAACTTCTGAAACAGAGTATACTATTTGTAGAAAAAATTAAATCAAACCGATATACCGGTAAAGCATTTTAGAAGTAACCTCAGTCCCCACATAACTGTTGCCAAATAAGCAGTAGATATTTGGTCTTAGATAAAAGCAATCCTGCTCATTTCACATTTCACCACACTTGCCTGCAAGTCTAGCTAAAAAAATTAAAAAACCCACCAAATGAGCTACATGCTTAATATGACAGTTCTTGTTGGACAAGTGCGATCAGAACGGACAATGCTGCACACTAGTAGCATACTGAGACGATAGTAAACAGATTCTTTTCAGTTCAATTAGGGCTTATGAGCCGGCCACAGTAAATGTTCGTCAATCTCATTCTCCCAGTGCCATTTTGGAGCAAGTTTGGAGAAATTGCTAAAAAAATTTCGAGCAGTTTGGGGCAATTGTAGGAGCACTTCCATCACTGCATCTTGAATTTTGCTCCATGACCAAACAAGGGCCCTTGTTCTGGATTTTATGGTAGAACAAGGCCAGAATATTTTACAATCATTGTGAGTTTTTCTTTTCTTTTGCTATAAGGTTAGGGTCTGTACATTTGAATTGGATTGGATAAGAAAGCATAAGCTGAAGATACTAACGCGGCCTCCATTTCTGGGTAAAATTAATGCAATTGAGAAAAAATAAGACAGGTTGGGCACTCTGGTTCATGCAACATGGCGTGATAACTAGAGGCCGGATTTCTAGGCACTAAAAAGGTGTGTTTTAGGTGCCAGAGACAGGCAGGTAAAACACCATTTTAGGCCCTCAAAAGCATAATTATAGGCACAATAAATTTCTAAAAATTAAAATATCCCAAAACAATGACATCGGTGATTTGTATCTTCGACAAAAAGCAAAAAAATGATGTTTAAGATAGCATAAAGGTAGCAACAATTTAACATAGGCATGCCTTTCTTGCGCAATTCGCAGTATGTGGTCTTTCATTTTATTGTCTAGCATTGCGCATCAAGTGTCCACCAGTCAATTAACACTCTCATGGGTCTCTTTCGTTTCGTTATGGCTGGGAAGAGTGGCGCAGGAGCAAATAACCAGACCACTCATACGCCAGAAGAGAGGCGTGCTATAGGTCTCATCACTTAGGATCAATTTCTCCCCTAACGGTGAACACCTTAAAGGGCCCATCATTAGGTTTAAGCATTTCGAGCTGACAAGCGTAATAGTGCACTAGGCACTTCGGATTATTCCTGTTAAGATTTGCAAAATTACATGTCGCGGAAAAATGCTCAATTTCTAATGTATGCGACTTGCCCTTCTCACGGGCGTGCGCCCCAAGATCTAAGGAGTGATGTACAGCAAGGAATGGTCTCGTTTTTACATCGCTCCTTTACGTTGACATGGGTGTGCTGACATCGCATACTGTACGCTCTTCATTAAAACTTCGTTGAATTCTAGCTCTATCTATAAAACAGACAAAAAATGTTCCGTCTCCTGACCATACCTGCATTTTAAATGGTACCACATTGAGAGTGTTGCACGTGACATTATTTTACTTGGCATGTGCAACTTGTGTGTTCTGTTATGTAGCATGAATGAGGAGTACTTTGATTTGGGCTATCTGCTTTATATCATATTGAAAGGGAAGCGCGAAGACAAAAGAAAAAGGACAATGCTCTTTGTCTTTATATCTTCCTTTTCCCTCTGTCTTACCACTGCTCTTTCAAAATCAGTATAATAAATGAAAGCGGAGAAAAATTTGAAAGGGAACCGCAAAGACAAAGGGAAAGAAAAAACAGCACTCTTTGTCTCTATGTCTTTCTTTTCCCTGTGTCTTTGCACTGCCCTTTCAAAATCAGTATAATGAATGAACGCTGAGAAAAGTAACAAAACATGCAAACGGAATCTCAGCTTGTTATTATTTTTATTTTTGTTTTGAATAGCCTCGAGATGCTATTCACTAATCGACCCTCGTTTAGCGTCCACCTCAGTGGACCGGTCGCTATAGGGTGCTCTGCTGCTGACCCGAATGCCGCGGGTTCGATTGCGGCCGCGGCGGTCACATCTAGATGGATGCGAAAAAGTAGATGCCTGTGTACTGCGCGATGTCAGTGCACGTAAAGAACACCAGATGGTCAAAATTTGCGGAGACCTTCACTACGGTGTCCCTCATACTCCCATCGTGTTTTTTACGTAAAACCACACATACAACAACAACAATTACTACTACTAATACTACTACTTACTACTACTACTACTACTACTACTACTACTACTACTACTACTACTACTACTACTACTACTACTACTACTACTACTACTACCACCACCACCACCACCACCACCACCACCAGAAGTAGATTAAAAACAAAACAAAAGCCGTGTGCACATCACATTTTTTACCTGAAGGCGCTGCAGCAGACGGGTTACAATGTCAAAGAAAACATGCCTTCATTGATACACACGCTTTGTTGTCTTTATTCTGTCATAAAACTAATAAAAAACAAATTATTAAAAAAAGTACATCTGATACGACGTTCTAAAATCTGAATTACCATGGCGCAAAGAGAACTGTTTAGGTGTATTCATTTTCAAATGTGAGTTTAGCATGAAATGCTTGACATAGGAGCTTTAACAGCAGTTCTGTTCAATGTGATGATACTAATTCCCATCTTAGTTATTATTTTATGTTGTTACAGCTGTCATTTTTTAGTAATGGCTTCGGACAAATTTTGACGCAATGTTCCGTATTTTTTTATGTTTGTCACTTAAAGACATATGACAAGGGATCTCAATTGAAACAAGCGTATTAAAACATACGGTGAATGTATGCTAAGTACACCATTGATTGTAAACATACCGACGCCTGTCTCAGGCTTCGCTGTATAAAGTATAAAGATTTGGTGACCTTCACCACCACTGAATCAACAAGAGCATTCCATGAGTGGTCCTCCATGATTTTTCATTTGTACTCCAGCTACCCGCGGCTACCCAGAAAAACCTGCTCCTCCTTTCCCACCGCAACACCTAGGTTTTCAGGGGTTCTTCAGTTTCTTCAGGGCACTGGATAGCTATTTGTAGAAGGTAGTCGCCACGTCCTCGGCCATAGATGTCACTTTTATTTTCTCACCCCATCTTTAATTCTCTCTCCTCCTTCTGCAGACGCTGAGACATTCTTCCACTTAGGGCTGCAGATATATCACCTTTTTCACTCCTCATGCTCCTCCTCCAATCGCTCGCAGCAAGTCAGCTTTGTTTTCGTTGAACCTTATAGTGTTTTTAAATATCAATGCTGCCTATTTTACATGAATAACCGTGTCACACCACGCTCGAAAAAAAAATTTGGGCTTTAATAGCACTCATACGTGCGCTCATTTAGAAAATAGGCATTTGTAGGCACTTATAGACATTTAGGCACGAACACTCAAAATAGACATTTATAGGCACTATAAAAACTCCATAATAGCCCTTCTTAACCTCTAATTCATGCTCATATACAAAAATGACATGATAGAAATGCAAGGAACAAAATAGGCATTTGCCTATAATCCGGTCTCTAGTGATAACAAGGAGTAGTATGACTGGGCGAGTGGGCTCATGGCGGTAGGAAGGCACAGCATGACTGAAACAAGAGACAAAGAACACACACACACCACACGAACGCTGACTTAAAAATGATTTTGCATGAGAGGATGAGCATGAAATTATCGAAGCTTTCTTCCTTATTAAATCCTCTGACAATTGCGTAAACTGGACTTCTGCGTTATTGAATGATGCAGAGATCGAGTTGCTCGTTTCGTTTAGTTTCATCAGTGCTGCACCACTGGATATGTTGTTATTGCTTTCTTCATTTCTTCTCGCACTTACATGTTCATTGAATACGACTGTGCGCACAGTAAAAATGCCTTCAGATGTGCGATTTGATAATGGTTATTGATAAGCGTGCACTCTTGGGTTTTGTTGCTTGGTTAACTCGGACAAATGGTTCTTGAAAAAAGAAATAAAATTCATGTTGTTCTATTTTGCTTGATAAACCACGTACGACCTTTTTTGTTGTGGAGATAGGTTTGCGAAAGGTTTGCGAAATATACTGGGTAGGGGTGCAAAAATTTCCACTGCCGTTGCACACAAAGACGCTACGGCCTGGTTCATCGACTCTACGAGGCGGCACAGAGATGGCACTCGAGCCAGGTCGTCAACAAAAGCAAGTTTAATTACCCAAGATACAGTACAGTGCGACAATCACAAGCTTTCGGGCCAGTAGGGAGCTTCGCAAGACCGACTGAGTGTACGCTCACAGACAGGTGCTAGGGCTATTACACAAAGAGCAGCAGCTGAGCACGCATATGAGAAGCTGCCTGCTAAAGCAGTGCGTCTACCTCTCGTGTAGGCCTGTGTGCATCTGCCTGGTGGCGGGCGACCATCGAGCGAAGGCAAGTTACTAGGGCAGGAACTATCACGGGTGGCCAATGGTGCGGGTTCTTCATCCCTTGACTCAGTCGCGCTGTGCCTTTCCATTGCAGTAATAAGAAATCATATCGAATTGGCTTACCCCAGCACTCGGCTATATCGCTGCTTTGCTGTGCATCTGAAGAACCTTTGATGAACTGGAAATGAACAAGCTAAGAGCACCACCAACAAAGATGGCAATCATACTTGCCCAGCAAGCTTCGGCTGCGAACCGGGAAATGCAATGGGTATGAGCCGAGAGAGGAGAAGAGGGGGAAGATGTGAAGTGGTGTAGATACCGACGCCATTATTACCCGACCATCAACCTCGCCCTGCTAATAAACAACCTTAGACTTTAACCGTAACAGTTTTGTCGTGGAGGTGCCATGGTCATCACCCAAGACACGGAACCACTGCCGCTAGGTCCTCGCCGAAGCCGACGCCTAGCGCGACTGCCTCCAACACTACCGGAGCTCGTGATGTTGAACAACGGTGACCAACAGTCATCTTCAGCTCCTCCGGCACAGACACCCAGTGCCTGGATGCGTCAGTTGGAGCCGCGCATTTTCTAAGG